TCCAAATCTTGGGGTTTCTCGCTGCACAATGGACAGGTTGGGTCCGATGTTCTGTCTATTCTATTTTTGTAGGCCCGCAGCCCAGAGAAGTGTTGTTGTTGTTGCTCTTGTCTTTGTTGCAGTTGATGGAATTGGGAGTGCATGGTTTTGTTGGAAGAGGGCGTGGGGATATTGACCTTAATATAAGGCTCTCGGTTGTTGTTGTTGCTGTTGTGTAATTATTGTTAGTGGGTGGCAGTGGTGGTGTAGTGGTGCTGTATTTGCTGACAGAGTTGTTTTTGTTGTTGTTGTTGTTGTTGTTGTTGTTGTTGTTGTTGTTGTTGTTGTTGTCGGTGATTATTTGTAATAGGTATTGGTGGTGTTTTGATGTTACGTTTGCTGACAGAGTTGTTGTTGTAAATGTTGCTGCTCCAACTGTTATTATTGTTATTGCTGTCGCTGTTGTTGTTAGTGAAAATGAAGCTGCTTCTGTTGTTGTTGTTGTTGTTGTTGTTGTTGTTGTTGTTGTTGATGATGATGATGATGATGATGATGATGATGATGATGATGATGATGATGATGGTGATGATATGACGGTTGTGGTGGTGGTGGTGGTAGTGGTGGTAGTGATGTTTATAGTGGTAGTGATTGTACTGATGGTGGTGGCTATGGATGTGGTTGTTAAGGTTGTGGTGGTTGTGGTAGTGATGGCGTCTTGCTGATGACGCTTTCGTTGACATGATGGTATTTGTTGCTACGAATGTTTTGTGTGTGCGATGCTTTGGGGAAAAACGTGCATATCTAGACACTGACAGATCCCCTCCCCCCCCCTCTATTTTTAAAGCCAAGTTACCGAAAATTTGGGACAACCTAAAGCCTACTCAATAACTTTACGAAGAAAATTAGTCATTTTTAAGGACAAGTGGGCTAACCCAGATTTCGGAGGTTTCCAGACATCTTGACCTACAACAAAAGTGGGCATTGCCCTACCTGTAGGAGAAGTTTGGTTTCATTGGTGTGTATATTTGATTGGTTATAGAGAAAACCCTTCTTGTCTTTTAAAGAAACTGAACAGGGTTCCAAAAACTTTACTTTCGATCTCCTCAAAACAGCATTTTTTCGATATAGCCCCCTTGTGCTTAAAAGCGACCAATTTGTCCTTTTACAATCATTTAACTTTAGCATATGCGGGGGAGGGAGTGAGGTGGTAGGGGGTGCGCGCGACAATGAGTTTACTCATTAATATAATGACGGAACATTCCGCTTTTTAAATCAACTAAACAATAATATGGGGAGAGTGGTATTCATGTATACAGAGAAGAAATTGTTCTAATATCGATATAACTAGATCTAATTAACTTAGAAAAAGATGGGGACAAAAAGAACACACAAAAAAAAAACCCAACTAAAAACACAAAAACGAAGAAAAAAAACCAAATAAAAAAGAAACAATCAAACAACCCCAACAAACAAACAAACAAACAAACTTACTTATCGTTACACCGGTAGAATTTGTCCTTATCTTCTTTACTGTTCCCTTTTCCTTTCCCCTCCTTTGTTCTCGTCAGTCTTTTTCTCGTGTTTTGGATTCTTCCCATTCTTCTCATCTTCAGAATCGCCTTCTTTGACCGAAGCCGGTAGCCCTATGTCTTTGGTCGCACTAGAACAGAGGAAGCAAACAGTTAAAGGATTTATACGGCCAGTTTTACAAGAGACACAAAAACAAATGTCATCGTTATGGTCGTCATCATTATCATCGTCGTCGTCATCATCATCATCATCATCGTCATCATCATCATCATCATCATCATCATCATCATCATCCTCCTCCTCCTCCTCCTCCTCCTC